GGTTGATTTTCTTATAATCTCTTGAGTTATAGAAAGAGGCTGTGAGTGTTGCCTATAAGTAGCTTAGAACAGCAGGAGAAAAAGAAACCAGATTCTTATCTCGTTCAGTGTTCATCTACCAAGAGCATTTCATTTCAGGAAGTGAAAAATATCTCGTCTTCCTAAAACCGATCAGCTGACTTCTTCCTTTAGACAATAAAGTCATAAGCAAGTGTAAAATCTTTAATCCTTTTATTCATAAATAATACAAAGTCAGCATCGATGTTCCCACCCACAGTCTACCTGGACGTGGAGAAGAGACCTCCCCAATTCATCTTCATTGAAAATTTTCAAATAAACACTATGAAATGTGGCTGAAACAGTGTTAGGTGGTTATGTTAAGTTAAGGAAGTCTTTCAGAGCCTCTGTTAAACTCTGCAAAGTTTCCTGGTTATATTTAGGGTCCATTTTCCCACAGCTTTTATACATGTTTGGAGGTCTCTACTTGCTGAAGACCTATTTCCCTTATTGCAGTGTCTTGTACTTTCCAAGGGGTGTTGATCTCAAAAGCAGAGGCAGGTAGAGAACAAATCTATGTTGATTTTCTAGTAAATGCCAATGGCTCTCTGCCCCACACTCCACAGTCAGTCACTCCCCATCCATTCCTCTCTGGTGGGAATCCCTTAGGACAGAGGCCCATTCATCTTCCTATTTGCAGGACCGACATCTGGTACATAGTAGGCCTGCAAATAAAGATTGTTCAATCAAGACGTTTTGTCTTTATGGGTTAAAATTTCTGTTTCTAGCCCTGGCTGGTGTAGCTCAGTGGATTGAGCACGGGCCTGCGAACCAGACAATTGCAGTTCGATTCCCAGACAGGGCACATACTGGGGTTGCAGGCAGGTTCCCTGCAGGCCAGTTCCCAGCAGGGGACGCACGAAAGGCAACCGTACATTGACGTTTCTCTCCCTCTGTCCTTCCCTTCCCCTCTAAAGATAAATAAATAAAATCTTTATTAAAAAAAAATTTCTGTTTCTATACTTGATTCTCACAGTATAAATATATTTTTATTAATGCTTTTAAGACACAATCTTGTGGGCAGAGGACCTGAAGAGACAATTTTCCCAAAAAAGACGCACAGATGGCCAACAGGTATAGGAAGGATGCTCACCTTCACGAACTGTAAGGGAAATGCAAGTCAAAACCATAACGAGATATCACTCCACACCTGTTAGAATGAACATTACCAATAAGATAATAAACAACAAGTTTTGGAGGAGACATGGGGAAAAGGGAACCCTTGTGCACTGTGGGAGGGAATGAATGTAAATTGGTGCAGCTTCTGCAGAAAACTGTATAAAGGTTTATCCCCCAAAAGTGAAGAATGAGCTACCATATAATCTAGCAATTGCTCTCCTGGGTATCTACGCAAATAATTAGAAAACACTTATTCATAAAGATATATGCACCCCTATGTTCACTGCAGCATTATTCACCATAGTCAAGACATGAAAACAATCTAAGAGTCCTCTGACAGATGAACAGATAAAGATATATATGGTGGAATACTACTCAGCCATAAAAAGGTAAAATAGTGTCCTTTGCAACATCATGAATGGATCTTGAGAGTAGCATGTTAAGCAAAATAAGTCATATGGAAAAGGATAAGAACCATATGATTTCACTCATATGTGGGATATAAAACTCAAAGTAACAACTTGAACAAATAACATATACAAAAAACAAACACACAGATGCAGATGACAGGATGGTGATTATCGGAGGGGATGACAAAGAGAGTGAAGGGGTCACTTTAATGTGTGATGATGGAAGGAGAACAGATCTCGGGTGGTGATCACACAAGAGTGTCTAGATGTCATATTATAAAGTGGTTCACTTGAAATTTAATGTTATTAACCAATACTTCCCCAATAAATAGAATAAAAACATTTAAAAATGAAAGCCAATATTTTTGAAAAGACACAATTTTGTACTCATTCCAAAATGAGTACAAAATGAGTACTCATTACTCTCCTTTTCCCCCAAATTCCTAATATCTTCAACAAAACTTCAGCAGCATTATGAAGGCTCAACATCATTTTAATCGATATTAAGGATGAAAATGTCACTCAGCAAAGCATTCCCAAGTGGGATTCAGGCGGTTGGAGGGGTTAGAACCAAAATGTGAAATCGGCTCAGCAAAGATTAAAAATTTTCCCATCCAGTTAATGGCCACAAGCTGAAATGTTTCACTGAACCAATCTCCTAGACATTTTAAGATATAAGACTAAGATTTGGGGGCAGGGAAACTATTCTGTGTGATACTATAATGGCGGACACGCATCATTATGCATTTGTCAAAACCCATAGAACGTACAACACTGAGTGAGTCCTCATGTAACCTAAGGCCCTCGGGTGATGGTGACGGGCCAGTGCAGGGTTATGACCGGCCGTGACAAACAGCCCACACTGATGGGGATGTGGATGGCTGGGGAGGTTGGGCTGGAGGGACTAGGTGGGAACTCTCCATACTTTCTGCTCGATTTTGATACAAACCTAAAAACTGCTCTAAAAATAGCGTGCATCATTTTTAAATAAAATGATGACACTAAGACCACATGAAGTACCCCATTTCCTTACAACTCTCACCTCATTACTTAAGCACAATTTCACAGAGGAAATGCACAAACCAGGTTATGTTTGTGAGAGCCACTGTCTCTTCTCTTGGCCTTTACCAAATCCTCTACAGTGTCAACCAGGCATTGACTCAGTAAAGTGACTATTCAGTCATTTGTCTTTTCTTCATGGATCCCACAAAGTGGAGCCAGACTGGGACCTTCTGTATGCAATGAAAAGGCCTTTGTTAATGCCTAGTCATGGGCTCATCAAGCCCTGCAAACACAGCTTCCCCAGATTTGCCTAGCTCCGGTACGGACAGCTTTGCATGTCTTAGCACGCAGCCTTTGTGAGAAGAGCTATGTTATTGTGCCATTGAGGCGGCTTCTACAGCCAAATGCGATACAGGAATTTCAGGTGGACCTGCTCCACACAGAGTTGAATCCTCTGCTGGGGCTCGGAAGCATGCAATTGTGTTTGCTTGCAAATGCTTGAGTTCAAAAGCTTATATGGAGGTAGCAAAGTGTTGGAGGTTTAAAGGCATTTTGAGGTGGATATTGATCTCTGCGGCAGACCAGAGTTTCCCAATGTGGTGACAAGGGAGCATTGTTCTGCACACAATTTTCCCTCCCTGATGAGCATTCAGGTCTCAGAAATGTTAGGAAACTGCTGCATAGTCTACCTCCTTTTAGACAGTGACAAGTGTGTCTTCCCAGGTGAAAGGCTCTCAGAAGATCTGCACTGATCCATTTAAGAACCCGGTTGACCTGTGACCCCACACCACCCAAACTCATGTGGCTGCCTCATTTTTGCTGCTGCAGCCGTTGTGCGCCCTATCTTGCATCTTACCAACCAAAGGGATTCGAGTTGCAGAAACACACTTTGGAAACCATCAGCATGCCCGGGTGACACTAATAATGGTGGGTCCTTCCAAATAAACAGTAAATCATTTCTTCTCTAACCTACCCACAATTATCTGGAGGAATGAGAAGTTGCTAGATAAACGGTCATGAGCAATGCTCAAGATTTTAACAAAAAAGTGAAGTGTGGACTGAATCACAAGAAATACACAAACAAGTTTCTTATGTCGATGACTTTGAGCCTGATCAGTTCGGTTTGGGCCATAAAATGGCCAGCTGACCTCACCAGTTGTCTTTCTCCACGGATCACAGTATCACCTTTCAAACATAGAATCATACCTGCAACTTGCAATACACGTTCATGGCTGGGAAGGAGGTCAATTTTGAGATATTATGTGATTCCGTTACATATTTTGTATCGGAAGATAGAACCAAGTGAGGAAAAGACATGCTCTCTTGCCTTCCGTCAGCTTTACTCAATACCAGCAGAAGCCTCTCTAAGTCAAAATCGTTTTGTCTTTTTCACAGGTAAAACCAAAAGGAGGTTTTCGTTAAACTGGGTACTCTGTAAGTAAACCATGGTCCATGATTCAATTCTGCAAGTGCTTACAGAGCCATCTACCCTGATCTGTGATTGGTCATCTAATGCCTTCGGATTAAAAAAAAAATCTTTCATCTTAATTAAAGGTGGTCTTTAATCTCCAGAGACACTGCCAAAATTTGGAAGATGTGTACATTATTGGCCTGTCCAAATCCCTCTTTTTTTACCACGAGTAGTTTTTCTTCTGATACAATGCAATTCTTTACTATCAGTATATTTACATTTTGTGTTAACTATACTTTTACTTGTTTACAGTTTTTTTAAATTTTATTTTATTCTTATCCTAAGCAGAAATACATAGAAAACTAGTATGATAGATTATTTATATTTCTAATAAATATGAAAATCCATGCACCCCTTAAAACCATCTTACGTATCACCAATAGAAGGTTTGGCACACACCTGGGAAAATCCTCATGTGGAAATATCTTGCCATGAAAATAAGGGAGACACCTGCAGTGGGGAAAAGTTAAGATAACCTCTCATAACTCTCCTTGCTACCAGATACCTGCACGAATAGTCAAACAAGGAAAGATCTGTTTACTTTACACTGCTTCCTGAAAGAAGAAAAAAAGAGCTCTTTTTAAACTACTGTGATCAGATGAGTTTAGTAGTCTAGAACTAGCTGGAGCATCAGGGGAGTACATCTCCCCTATTGAGTGTCTATGTGATACAATAAATGTGCCAAATGAGAATCGTACTGAAGTGTGCAGTTTTTATGAGACACCGGCATTCCGTAGAACCAAACACGGATGCTGCTAATGCTTTACATGCGCCGTCTCTGTGTGTTTTTCTTTCTAATCAAGCCACCTAGTCTCACTTGGTTAAGTTTCAACCACAAGACATCACTGTATGCTTTTTTTTTTTTTCAAGATAACACGTCACAACCAGGCGCGAAAGGGGAACTTCCAGTGTCTGTGGCAACATCACTTGACAAACAGTCTCGCTGCACAGCACGAGCCTGTTCGCCGTCACCATATAAAGCAGCGGACACGGTGCCTAGCAGACATTCGCTCCGTGAGGCCCCTGCGAGCAGCAGCCGTCTCCACGCCAAGGTCAGACAAAATGCCAGGAATGTTCTTCTCTGCTACTCCCAAGGAACTGAAAGGAACTGACCATTCGCTTCTTGATGATAAAATGCAAAAAAGGAGGCCAAAGACCTTGTAAGTTCCTCCGGTGTCTCTCTGGGTGAATTTGGACTGAGATTGTCTTTCATCTCAGAGGGTGGGAGAGGACATGGGAGAAAACACGGGCACTTAGTGGCCCTAGATCGGAACAATGACCTGTTGGGAGTTCTGCATATATTGCTGCATTTTCTAAAAATTAATCATGATTGGGAAGTAAATTGGGTGGGTGTTTTTCAGACTTAAACTGGCTCAGTCTTAATATAATGTGTTGTCGCATCGGCTAGTTTTATTACTGCCTTGTGCCTTGGAGGAGTTTGTTTCAGACTGTTCTTTATTTTATTTTACTTTCATCAATGGCATGCATTCTGCTGAGGAAGGAGGGATACTCACTTTCGTGTCTTTTGCAGCGGAATGGATGTGAAAGCGTACCTGAGGTCTATGATCCCGCACCTGGAGTCTGGAATGAAGACTTCCAAGTCCAAGGACATGTACGTACACTAAACACTGAGCTGTCATCATAAGAGTGGTCTAAGCATTCCCTCTGTATTCCAGCAAGTGCTTAACACTGTGCGTGGTGGACTCCTTTATTTTATGTGAGAAGCCTAAGGAGATGAGCACATCAGTACCAATGTAAATTAAACGCAACCATGCGGGTGCACACATTTGCCATTTATTATACTGTTGGAGCATCTGTCCTTAGATTTTCTCACCTTTTATTGGCAGATACTGTCATATGGCAATTCTGTAGGAAATGTTATTTCAGGCAGTAATTCTAAGGGAAATTTTGTTTTCTTATAAATTTTTATAAAGTTTACTAGGACTAGAGTCTTAGTTTGTAAAATGATCAGAACACAGCAGGCATGCTGAATTCACGTGTGCTTATAAAAAATAGGTTTTACTAATTCATACAAACCTCTTCCCCCGCAGACTCTCCGCTGACGAAGTGATGCAGTGGTCTCAATCTCTGGAAAAACTCCTCGCCACCCGAAGTAAGTAGACACTGACGGCTGAAGGAAGGTGTCTGTGTTTAGCACACAACCAGATTGAGCGGCTCTGCTGAGACACGAGAGTCTGGGGAAGAGTGTGTGAAAAGCTGTTTTCCATTTTTGCTGCAGCCACTGACAGTTTCAGCCTACGGTGCCTCACTGTTGTGTAGTGACTGCTTGGCACTCGACCCTGTCACAGACAAAGTCACCAAGACAATGAGATGTTTTCAGGGCTGGAGCGTTATAGGAGCGAAATGTAGAAGTATGCCGGGGTTCTGAGGTTTAAAGTCTTTCAGAGTAAACCAAACCTCTCCCCATGTGAATAGCTGTTCTGAAAGCTACCACCTAAAGGATGCATTTTTGTGAGTAGGAGTCATTCAGTCAGTTTGTTGTTTTTTCATTCATGCAACACCGACTCACCCATTCAGCCCGCAGGCATGTGGTAGGCATCTGAGCACAGCCAAGGACTCAAACACCCACACACAGGGCCCCAAGGGCAGTTGAGACACAGTATGTAATTGCATTACATGTAACATGACAGGTGTAACACCACAGGTACGATAACAAAGATTTTTAAACCCAGAGCCTCGTGATGAGGGATGGTAAAGAACTTAATCGGCTACCCTCCCTGAGGCCCCTACAATTCTATGGGATCAGGACTTGTCCAGAGTTGCAGATGAAATGTTTGTCTCCAGAGTGTGAGCCCCCCTGCTTCTCCCCACAGCACCTTAAGGAGACTTGCCACGAAAGCAGTTTACAAACAAATAAATGACATAGAAACGGCCCTTTTGAAAGTCTTAGTAACACTAGCAAATACAACCAGTACATCATACAGAGCTGATAATACACAGGCCTCACATTTTCTGATTGATAATAAATTGGTTGGAGAAATAATATTTGTTAGTGCTTAACATGGTGTTAATGTCTTTTGTCAATGTGTTGCGTCCCTAAGATACTCTATAAGAGAAGAGACTGCTCTGTAACCAGCAGGACAGAATTTTCGAGTACTGAGCAGAAGAAGCAAAGTTCAGTTTTGTTGCCACTGCTAAGCAGCTAAGGGACTGTAGACGATTATGTCTGGCCCGAGATAAACTTAAAGTGAAGGAATCTCTAAGGCCTTTGCACCCTCTACAAAGCATGACACAGCTACTTCACAAAAGCCCTTTCTCGCCTTTGCACATAGGGAAGGCAATAGTATTTTCTTGCAAATGTCTTCTTCGAGTTACTCATTTATTGGCTCAATTAATTTAAGTATTTCACCACCTCACTCTTTTTTTTTTCAGCTGGTCAAGATGTTTTTGGAAGTTTCCTAAAGTCTGAGTTCAGTGAGGAGAATATTGAGTTCTGGCTGGCTTGTGAAGACTATAAAAAAACAGAGTCTGATCTTCTGCACTGCAAAGCAGAGAAAATATACAAAGCATTTGTGCATTCGGACGCTGCTAAGCAAGTAAGTATCACGTTCATTACCATTAGCCCAGGTGCACACACGGCAAGGTGAAGTCCTTCTTGAGTGTCAAGACTGCATTGCTGAATGTTTAGGTGTATCCCCCTAGTTCTGTGCAGTGCTGGTCTAACTTTCTGTATCGGTGACCAGACAGAATGAAAAATAGATTTTGCCAGACTAGCTAATGTGCTGGGGCCGAGGTAGAGAGAGTCCTGGGTTGCAGGTCAGAACTGCATACCAGGAAGTCCATCACGAGCTAGCTCATCTTGGATGAGGATAAAAAAAAAAAATGAGTGTGATACATACGAGGCAGCAGTGAAAATATTGCCTGTTAGGAGTGGTGTCCACCTTCTAGTTCAGTATTTCTGGTGCAAGCGAAGAGAGCCGGACAAAGCACCCTCTCTTCCTATGAACCTTAAATGTCCACGTCACTTTTTACTGATGCGTGTGTCGCCCTGCCTGGGTATTTACATTTTTCAGGTGCCTCTTTTGCATCGCCCATAACATGAGCTACTTTAGCACAAAGAATTTCTTTCTCTCATTTTAACTTCTTCTCACTTAGCAAAGGTCTGCTTTAGAATAGGCAGTCAAGAGACAACTGATTTAAGTGAGGGCTTGAAGGCACTATCTTGAGGTGATTAAAAAAAAACACAGTCATATCAAAATATGCAATAAGTTGAAAGTGCATATTAACTAACAAGAATTTCCTTTTCAGATCAACATTGACTTTCGCACTCGAGAATCTACAGCCAAGAAGATTAAAGCTCCAACCCTCACATGTTTTGATGAAGCCCAAAAAATTGTATATACGCTTATGGAAAAGGACTCCTATCCCAGGTTCCTCAAGTCAAATATATATTTAAATCTTCTGAATGACCTTCAGGCGAACAGTCTAAAGTGACCATTTCCTGGTGGGAGGGGATTACAGATGGCATCAAGTTCAGAAGGCGAGTTCCCGGATGGCTCCCTGGGTGAGCAACTTGGCCTTTCTGGGTAACTAGACTGGCCCAGGGAGAGAACAAAGGACTCACAGTGGATTAACATGGAAGGTATCCAGGCACGGGGTTGAGGAAACTCGAAGTGAAAGTTAGGAGATGGTGGAAGGAAGGAGAGCCTCTGGCTCTGCTCTAAAGCACGGTGCACCTAGGAACTAGAAAACCCGTCAGAACCGATGAGGCCTGGGCACTCAGACGCTGTGAACAGAGGTTTGGAACGGATTAGGACATCCTATAAGCTTCGGGGCCCACTGACATTTATGCTGCATATTATTATATAGAGATTGTCTTGAGCTGCTGAAATTTCTTCAACTTGGATGACTATTTGACAAGTCTTTTTTTTTTTTTTTTTTTTTTTTTTTTCAAAATTGCCATTGCTATCATTGATACAAAGTGTTCTTGGTGTTGTTTTGTTTGTTTGACTGCTTTGGTTTGAAAAACGTGAACAAAAGAACGATGTATTTAATTAACTTAAGCTACTGCTCTTAAAACTGGGAAGTCAGAACATATCTGTAAATTAAATTATCAAGTGCTAATAATAAATATGAGTTTTTGTATTCAAATATATAGAATCAGTTTCTGTTTAAATTTCCTTGATATATTTTAAAACTGGCATTTATTCCTTTGACTTAACAAAAATTCAAGCAAGGGTCTTCTATTTCCTATCATTTCTCCCACATCTAAAATTATCATCAACTTCATTTTTCTAAAATGAGACAATTCAAATGGTCCCTGAAAATGTGTGTGGTGGCAATTGGGAGTGTGATACATTTCATTGGCTCGGTTTACCTTTGTATAACCTAAAGAGTTTACTTATAATGTGTTCAGGAAAACTAAGAATTTATGGGCATATTAAACTACTAAGAGAACAAACTGCTAACATATTTTAATATGTACATAGCTATTTTAAACTTGCAATTAAACATTAGTTATTAAAAAACTAAAATAAAACTATCAGCCAATCAACCCTATATTTCATGTGTTGTGTGTATTCACACAGCAGACAGAATTCATTAGTATTGTCTTTCGCCTTTGTTAGGAGAATGCATAAAATCAAATAAATATAATATGCTCTCATATAATCAGGCTCCAAACTGATGAGAAGTTGAAACCTTTAAAAAAGGAACAAAAAAGTTATTTCAAAAAAATCACCTAATTGACAACAGATATTTACGGTGGTTGAAACCACCATAAAGTTTATAAAACCCAGATTTACGTGCTCATTTAAAGTTCACAGCAACCCTGTGAAAGCTGAGACTGAGGAAGATTGAATCCCTACTTCCCACATTGAGCTAACCTTCAAAATTACCTAGAATGTGAACAGAACAGAACCCCCTTCCGGGGCCCCATCCCAGGCTGACTGAGCCAGAGTCTCCCAGGGATGGGGGGCAACACCTGCATTTGAAAAGAAAACCCCAGGTGACTTTGAAGATGGCAGGGATGGGCTGTCTGTAAGTCTGGGACTCTGGGACGACAACCTGAGCTCCTTTCACGATGAGACACTGCCCCCCACTGACCAGAAGCAGCTCCTAAATCACTCAGGTCTGCGACAGTCCGAGGGCCACCTAAGGGGAAGAACAAGACCACTCTGTGGGGGTCGCCTACAGACAGCAGAAAAATAATCATGACGATGCACAACCCAGAGGCCCGGGGGGCCGGACGGAGTCATCAGCCAGCCACCCACACACCATGTGGAATGCCCTGGGTGCCCTCGGTGCAGGCTAGTTCAGTTGGCAAGGAAAGGGGGTGATGTGTAGGCCCAGTGTTGTCCTTGAGCTTCCATGAGACAGAACCCCAGTCAGCTCCACCTTAAGCTTTATCCCAGGGCTCAGCAGGTCGTATTCTGACAGAAGCTCAGGGAAAGAGTGCAGTCTCCTCATCACAATTGTCATCACTATCAAGTAGTGTCCACCCCCGCATGCCGTCCAAACCTCCTTCTGCAGTCAGTGTGGTTAACTGACACACCACTTTCTTCTTTGCCTATTACCCCCCACCCCACACCCCACCCCCACCCTGCCAACAGAGGCTCTCAGGGCTTGGTAACTCTTGGGAGGTGTTTTCCCTCTTTCCAGCCTCTTCTCGTCCATCCCTCACCTTCTCAATCACGTGTCATTTCCCATGGCATACAAATTTCTCTTTCTGGAACTTGAAAAGCGAGACGTTCAGGATATAAGTCCCATCACTCCCCTTTGGGTGTCCTTCCTACCTTGATGTCACACTGGATTAATTACTTTTTCTGAAACGAGCCCTGGTCTTCAGTTTCCAGGCCTTTGGTTAATCTCTACCTAAAATCCTTTTTCCTACCTCTTTCTAGTTTCCAAAGTCTAATTATTCAAGACCCAGGATGAGTAACTGTTCCACGAAGGCTTTCTAACCTCTGGCACCATTTGCCGCCATGGTCAGTGTCCACCTGCGGCAAGCTGAGTCCACACAAACAAAAGGCACTCTGCCCCCATTTCCGGTGCCACGGTCACATCACACGGTCCAGGCCCTCCGGACGGTGCAGCGTGAGAAGTCCACCACACACACCGGCCACGGCAGGAACGCTCTGGTCTGTGTCTTGATAAGACGCCATGTTCAAGAGCCATCCAGTTTTTGGACAGATGGTCAGAATAAACATTTCCGATGCCCCTCTTCATTCCCCAACAGAAAAAAGTCATTCTAGCCCCGTAGACTTGAGATATTACACAACAATGCTCCCAAAGGACCACTTTCCTTTCATTGGCATTGTTTGTTGTGGTGCAAATATTTCTGTAAGAAATGTGAGTAGCTCTTGGGACCTCTGCTGTTTAAAGAAATTCGATCAACTGCTCCGGCTGAATCCTCAGTTCACGAGCTGTGTTCTGGTGCCATGCCAAAGCGCTGGCCATTGATGATATGTACGATCAAAAACTCAGGGGGTGGGCTGGGATGGGAGTAAAAGACAGAAAACTGTACTTGAAAAATAATTAAATAAAAATTAAAAATTGGAAAAAATATAAACCATTTTACTTTTCTCAGGCTTACTTTACATTAGTTCTACTATGCGTATCATAGAAAATTGGGACTCTAAGGAGGCAGAAATATGCCTTCTCATGATGTCGAATAAAAAGTGCACATTGACCCACTCAGCTCACACGGAACAAACTCAAGTGAACGTCTCTTTCTTTCTGTGTGAGAACACAGGCTGTATTATATTACTAGGAATCTTTGATGATTTATTGTCAAAAATAAGAAATTCTGAAATATATAAAGGAACAGAGTAAACAGTGATCTAAACTACCATGAATATAATTGCACCGAGACACAGATGCAGACTCAAGATGAGCAAAAAACCATCCGAGAACACAAAAAAAAACCTGCCCGCCACAGAAACAGTTCCACCCTCTCTGCTGAGACCAGTATCTTAAAAGCTAAAAACGCATCATCCTAATGGCAAAGCTGTGTGTCTCTCTCCATGACAGACCTAAGTGAAACTTTCCTACAAATAAGTCCATGGCAAAATGTACGCTCTTCTGTGCGTGGGTCTGTACACCTTTTGAAGACAGACTAAACTGAAGTCCAGGGTTCAGCCCAGGAGAGAGGCACCGCAGCTGTGGGACAGACTCTGGTGCCACCTTGGGGTCCTGCGACCCCTGACACCCACCCGACACCTGACGAGAGATGACTGGGATGAATGCACAGGTGGGTGGGGAAGGAATTACACCTCCTTCTATGGAAGAAGGGGCCATTTCGTTGACAGTGGTGGGTTTGCGTGACCGGTAGAATGTTCTAGAATGTTCCAGTGTTCACTTCTTATTCACAGATAATAAAAGAGGATTGGAGACCTGGAGTTAGCCAGTCACTCCCTTGACACATTCTCTATCTTAATCATTCTTAACTCTGTAAAACAGGTGAAGTTACGTTTATCTTTTATTTTTGCCTAGAGAAAAAAACACAAATACCATGGGTTTCAATATTCTCCTACCTCTCTCAAACTCTCTGTTGCCATTCTAGTCAAACCCAGAGAAAATTCTAATCGAGTCTAGTGAAAAATGTGGCAGGTATGGTTTCAATGGATACAACCGACACAGCTTTCCACTAGCCCTGTCTTTTACCCTGTGTCTTGAAACCCTGCACTTGAATTAGCTATAAAATCCAATTGCATCCCTAGTCTAGTGCTTTTTTTCCCTAAATGTGTCAGTTAATTCTGCATTTACAGATTACCTACTGTGATCAAGTCATAGGCAAAACATGTTTTCCTAAGTGTGTAACATCCTGCCACATTTTTGGACATAATTTTGACTAGAATGATTTAATCCATACCATCTATGGGTGTAAAGTGCCGCCATAGAGGGGGGAAGCTCAGAGGCTTCTCACTTCATCTTCACAAATCTAAGCTCAACCATGTACTCCTAGAAAAGTGTCTATTGTCCCCTTAATACATTCACCAACAATGACACTCACTATATGCCACAAGCCATGTCAGGTGCTAAAGAGACACACAAGTAAAACACAGCCCTCAATTACTGGGACACTCACAGTGATTGCAGAAAGAAAGGAGCAAACAGAAGGGCCATAAATTCTACCAAGCATTGTAAGAGAAGTGCAGGGACAAATAAGATCGTCTAACAGGTGACCTCCTAGGCCGCTCTCTCCAGGTCTCTGGTGAAAAGCCAATGGGACTGGTGGCCCTTCTTCCCTGCAAATGGAAGCGGTTGTGTGGAACCCACTTGCCAAAGGCCTCCAGTGCTGGGCACCTTGTACAGTTTCTCTGGGCACTAAGTCACAGCACGTGACCTCCCGATAGCAGGTTTCCTGGGTCTCCATCACCACAGACTCAGGGGGTTGCTCTCAGCTCCCTTTGCAAGTTCCGAGTAAGCAGGGAGCCATGAAGGAGACTGGCTTGTCCCCCTCCTCCTGCTCCCATGGCAGTCGTGGGGTCCACGCCAGCCCACGTGCCACGGCCGGGAACGTGGAGCTCTGAGAGTGCAGAAGAGAACAGAGTAATTCCCTCCTGGGTGCAGAGGGCAGGGTGGGGGGGGTATGGCTTCACAGACATGAACGTGGCACAATAAAATGTGCACTGAATTCAAAGTAACCAGGCGATGTTTGCATGACTGTGTCACTGGACTAACTGCAAGCTCTGTAACTCACAAATACACATCAATTCTGGCATGACTGCGCTCAAAGAAAAGCTGGAGTAAGTCTGTCCTACTCATTCCAACAATGCTTTCCTTGCCCGTTTTAGGGGCTGTGAGGAAGAGGGCCTAGGGCTCACCGGCCGGGGGCCTCTCTCTAGATGCAGGGAGCCTGCATTCCTCAGCCCTCTGAGGGAGGGGGGGCAGACACAGAGCCTCTGAGGAATGTTTCTCTGCAGTC